TGTATTCCCTAAACCCTAAAATCGGTGCTTGTGTATTCCATGAAGACTATAGCCGATTTTTTGGTGTGTCTAACCTTTCTCTCAAAGTCCTCCATTTGTTCATGGTGTTTGTGAACCATTTGATGTATCACACTTGAGATGCTAAGCTCTTGAAAGGCCAAATTCTACATGCTAAACCTAAGAGGTATTCTTCTAACTAGTTTTTTTTTTTTGTTTTTTTTTTGTTTCAAGTATTAAAGTTGTATGCTAGTTATAGGTTTCATGCTTTGGATAATTTTTTGTTGCATGTATAACTAGAGAAAACTTAGATCCAAAGCATTAGAGTTGTATGTGCACCATAGGAGTGTTTTAGTACATAAAAACCCAACACCATTGGCCAGAGAAAACACTAGAATCGTTTTCCTTCTTGCATATTGAGTAGTGTGAGATCAAAGAGTGTTTGTTGGTGGTTCTTGAAAGGAGTATTGAAGAGAGAAGAACCTAGCTTGGATGAGTGACTCTAGATCCAGAAACTCTTCATCAGAGGCTACATCTTTGAGGTATAAAGTCGTTACCTTGGCATGTAGTTTATTATATCTCTTTTCTTGAAGTTTTAACTTGAGTTTTGGGACTTTGGTTGAGTGTCCAAAGAGAAGAGATTTCCAGGGGTTGAGGGAGTAGATCTGACCCCTACATGACCTCTTGAGGGTTAAAGTTGCAAACTTTAATGGCCTCCATGTCCCATTCATGCAATATGTCCATTATAAAGCCAAAAATGAACCTTAGAGGGTGTTTCTAGCATGCATGGACGTAAAGTTTGGAAACTTTACGTGATTTTCCCACCTTGGGACATCATATCTGTATTTTGGAACGTTATAGTGTGAGTTTAGGGGTTTAATGGGTCAAGACCCTCTTTAAAGAACTAGGGTTTGGGTTTTAAGCCTTATAGTTGGTTCTTAAGGGTAAAGTTGGAAACTTTACCCTTCTAGAAACCATTATGGAAGGGATCTAAGGTTTGGAGTCCTTGGATTCAAGAAAAATGGCTTAATGCATTAAGTGGGTTGACAGACTGGATAACTAGACGAGTTCGTAGGGGAACTCGGCGAGTTGGTTTAGGGTTGTCACGATTTTGTTGGAAAAAGGGGAAACTCGACGAGCTGGATCACGATATCGTGATTCTGCCTTTGAGGGGAACTTGACGAGTTGAAGGATAACTCGACGAGTTGGGTCAACTCGGAGTATGGACTTTGACCTTGACATTGGCCAAGCTTGACTCTTAGGGTTTGAAGTATTGTGTTGAATCTAAGGAGTTGCTTATGTTTAGGGATTAGGTGGAGCTGATACTTGGAGCCAGGACCTTTTCAGCTACTGTCAGTATTTGAGGTGAGTTTCCTCACCATATCAATAGGTCGAAGGCACCAAGGCCGACCCATATTATTTAGCTGTAGTGGTTATTTGTGGATGTGATATCTATGTGATTTGTATTTATGTGAAGACCATGTGGGGGTTCCCATGGCAGTTGGTTAAGACCATGTGGGGGTTCCCATTGCATTCAGAGTAAGACCAAGGAGGGTGTCCATGGCATCCTTATATTTTTGTTTGTATGCATGGCGTATGTAGACTTATATGATTGTATGTGTGGTTTGTATTGGGGACTCACTAAGCATTAGCTTACAGTTTGTTGATTGTTTCAGGTACTTCGGGATCTAAAGGCAAGGGTCCGGCATGATGGTGCAACACGCACTCTCTAGCATTTTGTTATGAACACTCTGATTTTGTAATAAATACTTGATGTTTAATATTTTTAAGAAACAATTGTCCGTGCAATTTATAATTAACGAATATGGGATTTGTTATTTAAATGAAATTTTTTATTGAAATTGTGGGTTGTTACACTCTTAGGCTTGAAATAGCTTCTCAAGGTGAACTAGGGTTGCAAAACGTCTCAAAAGGGATGGAGGCTGATGAGGTGAGGGGAAATGGAGCCATAAGGGTGTTTAAATATGAGCAAAACCCTAAAAATTAGGGTTTCCAAATCTGGCAAGTACGCCCAACGTACAACATGTACGCCCAGCGTACTAGGGCGCGCCCTAGTGCGCTCAGCGTACACACGTACGTATAGCGTACTCCCCCGAGGCCTAATTATGAAAATGTCACTTGGGCTCCTTTTGCACATTTTCTTGAACTTAGGGACCAAAATGCAACATAATTAAATTATAGGGTTAAAATTAGAAGTACCTTATCATCGGGATGTTACAACAACCCCTCCTCCTTGCTTAATTGTCAATATCGTTTAAAAAATGGCGGGATAAATTTAAGTTTCATCAAGCCAATGAGAAAACAGTAATCATGTATTTTCAAGACAATTATCATCATAAAGAATCAGAAATCGAATTAATCAAGAATGTTCCATTCTCATAAGATGATTTAGTAGCTAGAATCATTAGTCTTGTTGGTTTATCTCTAAAAAAAACTTTAAAAATTACAACAAAATATACGTAAATCTCCTTTTGGATTAGAAGGTTCTCCTTCTAAATCAATCATAAATAATGAAGTGTTTCAAGACGCTCAAGTCCCATTTGATAATTCATATGAAGATTAATATATTGTAATTTTAATTTGGTGTATAAATATAAGGCATTTGGTTTCTAATAGGCATTTGGTTTCCGAAAACTATTTGTTTTTCAAAAAGGTGGCGTGAGTAAACACTAGGAAGTAAACATTATGTTGTTGTGTATAATAAAAAATTAATCAAAATAATTATTAATGTTTGTCCTTCTATGATAATTATTAATCAAAAGAATTCAAGAGCTTCGTCAGAGAAAACCATTGTAACTACTAATCACAAGAAATAAATAACTTTGTCAAAAATAACCATCAAATTTATCCGTCATTCAACAAAACTCCAAAATGATTAAAGGTATTACAAGATACGAATTTTTTAAATTATGTTTTGCTACGGCGTAAAGCTAATAAACATTTTTAGTCATTTTTTTTAAATTTTGTTTCAAACTCAAATCCAAACACCAC